CTCACTCAGAGATCCATCACCGAGAGGGCTGGGAAGACCTTCAAGGAGATCCTGGTGAAAGCAATGGACAACTATGCCGTGCAATCGGACTCGGAATGGCGAGACTTGGTAGACATTGTGAACATGACGGTCAACAGATTGGCAAACAAATCTGGATTCTCGCCCTGCCAAAGATTGCTGGGATACACCCCAAAGATGCCCGAGGATTACAGTTTTTGACTGAAGAAGAAAAGGAAGCTCGAAGCTGGGCACACCGAGGAGATTTACAAATTCAGCGAGCTCAGACGATGCGATTGGCTGCTGCGAGAGCATTCCATGAAGTCGAATGCCAACAAGCACTCACCAATTCACTACATGCCGGAAGACGAGAAAGTCACAGATTTTGAAGTGGGTCAGACCGTCTTCTTTTGGAGGAAAGCGCCAGGAGATCACGCCAGCAAAGAAAGTCCAAGTTACTGGCGAGGACCCGCAAAAGTGATACTGACTTCACCACCTGGAGCGATCTGGATTAGCTTCCGGAGACACATCGTTAAAGCAGCTCCTGAACAACTCAGACTTGCAAGTGCCGAAGAACATCAATCTTTATCATCATGGATGGAAGGCCTCTCGAATCTACGGCACATCTTAGAAGAAGAACCCAAGTCTGGATACATCGACCTGACGAAGGAGAGTCCTCGAGAAGAACTTGACCAAGAACTAGACCAAGGTGGAGGACTAAACCTCGACCAAGAACCGAAGAGACCAAAATACAAGATCGAAGGAAAAACATCCAGTCAGGAAGTAGAGATGAAGCCAGAAGAAGATGAATGGCTATGGCATGAAACTCACAAAACGCTGACCAGGTTCCATCGACAATGGAGGCAGACAACCTTCAAGCCAAACGACGTGGCTGATTGTCCCATCGACTACAACCGACTCAAGGCACAAAGGAGGACCACTATGTACTTTGAGGATGGGACCACACAAGAAATAGTTGATGAGTGGCATGGAGAACCTCTTCTACAAGACCATCGCTGGAAAGGAAGAACAGAGTTTCAAATGGATGATGACCCACTGCCATGGGAGAAGACCGAGGCAGAGAAACCACCCCAGGAGAAGATCTACGAGGATCCCAGCATGCGAGAAGAGAAGGAAGAACATGGAACGAAGAGAACAATGGAAGATGATGAAGAAGAAGCCACAGGCTTTGAGAAAAAGGCGAGGAGAGAGGAAGAAGAACAAACAAAAGAATCTCGAGGAATGTCCCGAGCTCTAGAAGAAGCTGAAGAAAGTGACCCTCCTGGACCTGCGAAACGACAAAGAATTGACTGGATAGAGATGATGATGACGACATTGACGCCCGAGATCAAGAAGCAGAAAGGACAAAAAGAAATAAAACTTAAAGAGCTGTTACAAGAAGCCCGGACGAAGTTCTGGAAAGCCATTAAGAAGGAGGTCGACAACAATATACAAACGGGAGCCTATGAGATCCTCTCACCAGAAGAGTCAGAGAGGATTCGACGAGAAGGGCATCACATCTTGCAATCTCGATACGTACTGGTCGAGAAGCGAATCGAGCCAGATGAGGTCCCAAAGATCAAAGACGATGGACTACTGCTTCATGAAGATGAACACGGAGGATTTAAAGCAAAGGCTCGACATGTGATGAAGGGCTTTAGTGAGCCGGACTCCGAGTGGTTGGAAGCGGCAACACCTCAAGTCGCTCCGGAGACAGTTTTACTGGTTCTTCAAACCTTGGGATCAAAGAAATGGATCCCGGGATACTTGGACTTCACCCAAGCATTCCATAGCGGGGACGAGATATCTCGCCTCCTATTTGCAGAACTCCCTGCAGAAGGACTTCCAGGAGTACAAGACCGACAACTCCTTCGATTGAAAAAGCACTGTTATGGTCTGCTTGATGGTCCATACCAGTGGTACAGCCACCTTCAGAGGATTCTCAAAAGCTTGGGATATGAACAGTCTCAAGCTGATCCCTGCCTTTTCTTCCTCTTCGACAAACCAGAACATGTGGAACGACCAGAGATGGAAGAACGACAGATAGAAGGGATCATAGGAGTGGCTACCGATGACCTACTACACGGAGGAGGACAGAGGCATTGGGAAAAGATGCAATGGATCAAAGACAACTACAAGCTAGGAAAGTTCTCACATGGTGATGGACGTTTCGTTGGAAAGGAGATCCAATGCCTGAAAGATGGAAGGATCAGAGTCCATCAACAAATGTACGTCAAGGAGAAGATCAAAACAATACCCATCAACAAAGAAAGAAGAATGGAAAAGTACAATTTGTGCAGCGAGACGGAGATCTCCGCCTTGAGAGCACTACTGGGAGCACTTGCATGGTTGGCCAAAGAAAGCAGACCAGATCTCATTGGAAGAGTTAGCATCCTCCAACAATGCATGCCGAAGCCTTACATCCGTGATTTACTAGAAGCAAACGCCTTAGCAAAAGAGGCCATTGCGGAGATCGACACAGGCATCACCATCATGCCAATCGAGTTCCAGAAGGTCAGAATCGGTTCAGCATCGGATGCAAGCTGGGGAAACTCTCCATGTCCTGAACTTGAAGAACAGAGCAAGGATTTCTGGGAAGAAAGAGGAGATCTCTGGATTCGACACCATGTTCAACCTCGACATCTACTCTTTCATCCAGGAGCAGCAACCGGCGGACCTCAACTTCATGAACTAGAGGCAGCACGAGCAACTTGGATTGACGGCGAACTCTTTGAGGACACCTGGAATCGTCGAGAAGATGTTCGAAAACATGGTGAAAGCATCTGGAAAGGGCACACAGTTTTCATGAAAAAGAAGTCAAAGACCAGATTGGAAATCCATGAAAAGTTTTTGCAAGTTGGACGAACTCATAGCCAAGGAGGCCACATCGTCTTTGCATACCATCAGGATCTAGAAGTAGATCAAGCTCCTCAACCAATTTCTATCCTGGGATGGAAGAGCTATAAGTTGAAAAGATGCACTGTGAACACTTTAGCTGCCGAAGCCCAGGCCATGATCTATGGAATTGGAGCCTCCTACTGGATTCGATTCATGTGGTCGGAGATCAAAGGCCTTCGAATGAACCTATCCAATTGGCAACAGCAGATCGGAAGGACCCCTTCATTGCAGTCACAGATTCTCGCTCGCTGTTCGACAATCTGAGCAAGTCGACCAACATTGCATCGCACGTGGATGACAAGAGGACAGCCATCGACTTGACGATTCTGAAGAATGACTTGCAGCACACAAGAGGACAGCTGCGATGGGTGGCGGGGGAAATCATGATTTCGGATGCCCTTACTAAGAAAGGTCCTGCTAGCTTTTTGAGGGGAATCATGAAACTTGCGTACTGGACCTTGTTCGAAGTCGGAGCCAAAGAGCTCAAACAGCAGGTTTCAGCCAATGTAAAGTAGGAGCGATGTGAATTCCGTCTCCTGTTGGCTGAAACGCACAAACGAGAAGTGTACCAAAGCAAGCCACGTACGCCGTGGCTCAAGTCGGGGCAAGGACCCTGTGGCTGGCGGAAAAATGTCCGTCAGGTTTGATCCATATAAATATATATATATATATGTCCTCACGAAAGCCTGCCGATGGCCTCGCCCACGACCGTCTCTGGCCACTCATTGCCAACGCGCAGCCGACGAACTCACATAACATCTTTGAGGGTAAAATTTTCACCTCCACAACATTTCTGCACCCACACGAAAAAGGGCGCCCCCCTTTTAAACCTACCGTCTATTTTTACCTCCTATCGCGTAACTGCGATGCCAACTTCACCACATTCACGTACTCCTTACATAGTGTAAACCTATCAGTTCATCTTGCGCACTCACGTCGCTCACATATCAACCTCACCACTTCCGGGTTCCGCTCTGCCTACACACACACATATCTATATATATATATATATCTCTCTCTCTCTATATATATATACACCTACCCAATGAAATTAATCTTTGCCCGATGTTACCCCGTCACTTCCTCTTGCACACCAAGTCTTTGCTCGGTCCTACCCTGAGGGCACCCCCGAAGCCAGAGGCTGGCATTCGTCCCCTCCCCTCTCAAGTTCTTTTCATCAGACAGCGAAGGTGCTGTGAGCTGGCTGCGTGTGAGCTGGCTGTGCGCGTGGTGGGTGCTGGGCGCTGGCTGTGCATGTGGTGGAGACAGGGTGCTGGGTGCTCGGTGCCGGGTGCTGGTGCTGGGTACCGGTGCTGGGCGCTGGTGCTGGGCGCCGTGAGCTGGCGTGCCGGTGCTCGGTGCTGGTGCCCGCTTCTGACAGTGAAGTGATAACAGCTGCCGCTTCTGACAAGAAAGGTGACAAACCGCCGCTTGTAGCAGTGAAGGGCGACCAACCGCCGCTTCTGACAAGGAAGTGCCAGCAGTCATGGGCCGCATGAACGTATACGCGCAACATCGTACGGTGTTGTCGCTTGAGCGTTCTTTGTCTATTAGTGCTGTGCGGTACTGACACTCTTCAGGTTCTGTTTTGGCCGACAGCTGTGTCAAGGGCTGTACTGTTTGCGCGCATGCTTTTGTACGTATAATGTTCTATGCGCAACGTCAGACTCTCAACCGACCATTGTTTCAGCATGGCTCAGCGTGCTCCACACACAATCGTCGTGCTGGCCTTGGGCGAGTGAAGCCTACGGGCTTTGCCGTTTGTGCGCATACTTTTGTGCGCATAAACTTATACGGGCAAGATCATACGTTGTTATAGGGATGGCTATGGGGTTCTTACTGCTATCTGGGTCTATGCTGGTGTAATTTTTTTTTGCGCGCGCATGTTTATATATGTTTAGTATTGAATCATTTGCATGGTAAGGAAAGTCATGTGTATGCCTGCAGCAACGCAATTGGTGTAAGTTTTCCAGTGCAGCAACACAAAAGGTACAAGAGTAGGCGGGCGCTCAGTATGTAGCCCTGGTGTATATACATATATATGTTCGACTTATCATTTATCATGCACTAACGAGTGCCTGGAAGCCAGTGGCCGAATGGCTAAGGTGGAAGGTGTGTCTGGAGTTGCCTGGTGGGTTGATGTGACGGGGCACAGTGTGTACCTGTCCATGGCAATGTCCAAGAAACTTGGCTGAGATTCACTTCTTTGACCGCACCTTTTGAAGCAGCTCCTTTCGCCTTTGAGCTAGGCCTCGCATCGGGAAGAATACCTTTTCGTGCTACGCCGGAGTTTGGAGCTCATACCTTTGGAACAGTTCCCCCATGTGTTTCAAAGGAGAAATGCGTGGCGCTGATTCTCTCGCTGAACTGAGTTGCCTCCACCGAACCTGAAGACGATACTCTCCAAAGCCCCCAAGCTGGAGTCGGCCACAACGGCCAGAGCCCCAAAGGAAGGACAGTGGCAGAACCTCGAGCTCAAGGTATCTCAAAGTCAGAGAGCATGGTCAAAGACTCGTGTCGTGGGTTGAGTTGAAACGTTGGAGCCTTCTTGCCAGGAGGCCAGTTTTCCGGGTCAAGGCCCTGGCTGCGAATGGGCTTGGGGCTTGGATGTGCACCTGCTGGTCTTTGTTTGATGAGTGGAAGAATCGGGGGGAAAAGGTCTTCATTTGGATTGGTGCTTCAGCTGGTCTTAGGTGGCCACAAAACAGGGTGTACGAGTCAGGCTGGGTCTTCGGGAAGGGCATGGCAAAAAAAGGAAGTAACACGCCAATGTCGTTTGGTTTTATGGCAGTGATTTGAAGGACTCTCATCACGGCTGGCACTTCACACATGCCCCGGCCATTTTGCGGCGAGGATCTTCTCCGAGCTGGACGAGTTCGTGCCCCCCACAGCTAGTGACCTGTCCCCAAAGGAGAACGCACTTTCCTCGGTTTTGACACCACACACTATCCGGTGTCATGACTTGATCACCGCTCACTGCGAGGAGCAGTCAGAGACAGAAGGAGCGGAAGGAGCGGAAGGAGCAGAAGGAGCGGAAGGAGAAGTCGAACACGTGCCTTCGACGTCTTCGACCGCTCTGGCGATACCAGGCCAGGCTTTCTGGAACCCACCCCTAGGGATGGCCTCCACCCTACTAGCGATGGCCTCCAACCTACTAGCCCCAGAGCTGCTACCATTCGGCATGGATCTTTGTGTGGACAAGTGGGGCCTCACGCCCGAAGAGCCATTTCTAGTTCATCCCGCGTCAACGCCATATGTTGCATCGACCACATCCCAAGACTCTCCTGAAAGAGTTAGGGAAAGAGGTTCTTGGAGTCTCTCGCACCTGTAGGTGCCTATGGTGGCAAAGAAGGAGGTGACTTCATGGCCTTGACTCGCCCAAAGGACTCAAGCCGTAAAACGTCGCAATGTGGTCCAAGATCGCTGAACAGATTTGGTCCGATCTCTTGATATCTTTTGGGTTCCCGGTGGCTCTCATTCACCACAAGCTATACAAAATGATCCGACAGTTTATATAATAGGTTTTTGCTGTGGCCCCTCAAGTCATTCGGCCATTCAGAGACGCCCGAAGGATGGCACAGATGGACTTGTTCGTGGCTTGAAGACAGCTGGAGTGGCCCGTCCAGATTTTGCTCGCTGCATGGGAGCCACAGAAGCACCTGCAGGGTAAGAGAAGGCTGTGAGAAGCGCATTGAAGATCAAATAGCCGAAAGATGAATTCCAGTGACTTTCGCGCCACTGCCAACCAGAATGCAGAGCATTGCCAAATCTCAGTCAAGGGCAGAGGCCTTTATGCAGCCCCCCTGCACCGAAGGCCCCATTTCCTTTGCCAGGTGAGTGTGGCTGGTGGCTTGGTAACGATCGCCAACGCCTCAGCTGTGTGGAGACAGCGGGTGGGTGCCACCAGTGCCGCTCAGGTTGCGGCACCAGTGGCGGGAGCGAGGTGCGAAGCCCGACGCCGCGCGAAGGAAGCCGCGGCTTCCTGAGGCAGATTCGTTTTGAAGCGTTGCAGGTCTGGCGGTGCGACGGGATTCGTCAAGGGACTAGGTTGGAAGCTTGGTGAGACCTTGCAAGATCTTTCCGTTGGTCTTTGCCAAGTTGACTGGCATGCAGGGCCATGCAGGGCCATGCAGCATGTGGCATTGAGATCGGCCATCGTGGGTCCTTCGGCTCGGTCGCAGCCCGTACGAGGTGTGGGCGTCTTGGGGGGTGCCGCCATGGCGGTCGGTGGTGTCGGCTGCGGCATTGCTCAGGCACGCCTGGGAGGCTTTGGGGGTCCTTTTGCGGTGCTTTTGGTTGACCTCATAGGTAAGATTTCTGCTGTAAAGCACTGAGGGTGGGTTTGATTTCGCCCAGAGGCTTTCTTCAGCAAAGCAGTGTGGAATGCATCAGAATCAACCACACCTGGCTATCAGATCTATGAGACATCCAGGTTTCAAGGTGAGTCATTACTCCTGGAAACTGACAAACTGACAAATCTACCGTTTTTCTCACTTGGTGTTGTTATATAATGATTCAGTTATCGTCATCTGGAAGAATGTGCATGTGTATAGTATCCATAGCATACCTTCAAAAACGATGCTCACAGAACTCCACATCGACTCAGCCGAATTGTTCTCCAAAACACTTGAGGGATGCCGTCGAGAGACTGCCGGTCCCCTACGACGTTACGACGACACCCTCCAAGTCACGAAAGCTAGCATGCTAGCTGAGTTCTTCTTTGCTTTAGCAATTGGTAGTGGAATGAGCTGCGTGCCCTAAAGCTTGATATATCACACTAAGGGGGGGCACCCCGCGGTTCAACTCCCAGCTGCAGGCGTTTTGGCATTAGTGGAGGTGTTGTTACACGTTGGAAATTGTTGGTGTTTTGTTTGGTATTTTGGATTTTGGGGTGTGCGTTCAAAACCAGGATGTCAAAGACATCATGCACTTGAATTTTGGATGATCTTGGATAGCGGAAACACATCTAATTATTGGAGAGCCAAGATGACACTCATGGGATTTTGCCTGCGTCTTTGCAAAACATCCACTGATTTAGTGTTTGTATTTAGCATTCATTGACGAGCTTCGTCGGAAGCATGATCATTTGCTCGTTTTTGTCTTGTGGATGCATCACATAACATTTCGGCTGCGCCTCGTCAGTTGATGAATCTTCATTACCTGAGAGCAAAGTGTTTGAATTTACTGTCTTGGACATGTGTGGTTTGGCAAAATCACGAAAGCTAGCATTCTAGCTGATCCTTCTTTGCTTTAGCAATTGGTAGTATATCACACTAACCCCCCCCTCCCCCCCCCACGGTTCGACTGGCGGGGGTTGGTTGAACGTGTGAACGTGGTTGGTTGGGTGTAAACGGTGGCTTGGTGTAAACGGTGCTGCTGCTGCCGCTCTGCTGCTTGCTGCTGCTGTTTGCTGCTGCCGCTGGTTGCCGCTTTTGTAGCTGCTGCTTTGCTACTTGTTGCGGCTTGGTGTTGCTGCTGCTGTTGCTGACGACGCCGCTGTTGCTGCTGCTTGCTGCTGCTGCTGCTGCTTGCTGCTTGCTGCTTGCTGCTTGCTGCTTGCTGCTTGCTGCTGGTGGTGCTGCTGCTGCTACTGCGGCTTGGTGCTGTGCTGCTGCTGCTGCTGCTGCTGCGTGGTACTGCTGGCTGGCTGCTGGTTGGTGGTTGCTGCTGCCTGCTGGTTGCTGGCGGCGGCTGCTGCTGCTGCTGGCTGCTGCTTGCTGCATAGGACTTGTACTTCATTGTTACAAGTTCTTTACCCCTATTTCTAAGCGGGTGGTAAATTTACCGCCCAGGTTTGCTATAACCATACACCGGCTATTATTCAAGACGCTCTATTCCTGATACCGTTTACCAGTGCTCATCCTACACTACGGACGCCCTAGTGTATGCACAGTCCTTGTGATGCTTAGCCCTCGTTCCGGCTCAAGGCATACACAAGCGGGGGGTAACTTTGCCCCCCAGATTTGCCATAACCATAAGCCGGCTATTTCCTCAAGACACTCTACTCCTTATACCTTGTACCAGTGCTTATCCTACACTACGGACGCCCTAGTGTATGCACAGACCTTGTGATGCCAGACATGCTTACCCCTCTTTCCGGCACAAGGCATACGTAAGCGGGGGATAAATTTAACTCCCAGATTTGCAATAACCATAAGCCGGCTATTTCCTCAAGACACTTTATTCTATATACCTTTACCCGTGCTTCTCCTACACTACGGACGCCCTAGTGTATGGACAGTCCGTGTGATGTCAAAAATGCTTACCCCTCTTTCCGACTCAAGGCGTACAAAAGCGGGGGGTAAACTTAACCCCCAGATTTGCCGATCACGCATCTTCGTGCCTGCCAACGCTTGCACTCGTGTTGTTCCCTTCCCAGTCGGCGATGTCACATTTACATTCTTTAGCGCAAAATACGTACGTAGCAGCCTTTCTCCCAAAACATGTAATCACTACTACATGCTTTGCCGGCTATGTAACTAGTACATCCGGTGCGATTCGGCTAGCTTTCGACCTCCTCCCCCTGGCCTCAAGTCTCAGCAGTCTTGGTCTTCCAGGTTGGGAGAGGGCTTATGCAAGCCCCAAAGGCAGCCAGAGCCCGGCGTCTCTTCCTCGATTTGGGCACATTCTTTTGTTTTGGTTGCTTTCGTGGCGCCATCTCCGCGTCATAGGTTGGCTTTCGCGGCCCGTCGGCCCAATCAGGTGAAGAGAAGGTTTGGGATCAAGAGCTCGGGAAATGGGCCGAGTTCCAAGAGAATTGGCGGTTCCCGGCCGACTGAGAGAGGAATCATGTGGCGGGTTGTTTTGGCTGTACTGCTGGGATCTTGCTTTCTAGCAGGTTGATGTGGACCTTTGTGCTTTGGAGCGCCAGATGGCACAGGAGTGGCCCACTGCTTTCTCGGATGCCATGGAGGAGGTTGGATTTTGCTCCAAGTGGTTCGCTTGCCGTTAGGAGACGGACAAGGACACGAGCTCCACTCCAGGAGGTCTTGGGGTTTCGCAGCATGCTCCACACAGGCTACTTTTGATAGCAGGTTCGGGAGAACCGCATTCAGATGGACAAGTGGCTATGGCCTTACACAGCAGTTTGGAGGCCGCTAGTAGGTTGGAGGCCATTGCTTCTAGGTTGGAGGCCATCGCTCTTAGGTTGCTTTTAATATACAATGTGCAATGTCAATGTACTGTAAGCTTCAGACTGGAGGGTGACAGCTCTGAGGCAGATACCGAGTACTATGATTTGCTCCAAATCCAGCCAGTTACCTACAGGGCTTGTGGGATGGAGGGTGTTATGAAAGCTTGAGGACATGTTTGCAGGTTTTCCCCTTTAGTGGCATCAGGAAAACTTTTGTTTCTGCTTAAGGGCAGTTGGTCAACACATGTACTCGTACTGTGTTTGTTCCCAGACAAAATCCTTCACGTGAAGCACACAACCAATGCAGACACGAGCAACTGCCTTGCTCTTCCACCCGCCTGCCCGCCGCAGCCATTTGTACAGCGCGGAGACTTTTGATTGGCTGGCCCTGTTTTGCAGGCCGACATCCCACAAACAAAAGCATGAACACCAGTAAGAAGAAACTTCACACGCACACGAGAACGACTTATTCTTCAAAATGATTTGGCCCATGCTCACGGAAAGCAAGATCGCTGATCAGCCTTGGATTTGTACCAGTACCAGGCCTTTCTTCTCCGAAATTACGCTACCGACCGTGGCTGCCATGAGTGCGACTGGTACGCGATATGAGCGCCACCTATGAGGAATGCGCTTCAGCAACCAGCGGGCACGATGCCAAGTCCAGCGACGGGAGTGAGTCCAGCGAGTCCGTCTCTGAGAAGGCCGAGATGGTTTGGACCTAGTAGCTTTAAACTTACTCGCTGAAGCGTCCTTGCTCCTAGTAGCGTCCTTGCTCCTAGTAGCGATGCCAGGAGTCCCTAGTAGCTTCTTGTTCCTAGTAGTAAGGCCGCCCCTAATAGCGTCCTTGCTCCTAGTAGCGATGCCAGGAGCCCCTAGTAGCTTCTTGTTCCTAGCAGTAAGGCCAGGAGCCCCTAATAGCGTCCTTGCTCCTAGTAGCGATGCCAGAAGCCCCTACCAGCTTCTTGTTCCTAGCAGTAAGGCCAGGAGCCCCTAATAGCGTCCTTGCTCCTAGTAGCGATGCCAGGAGCCCCTAGTAGCTTCTTGTTCCTAGTAGTACGGCCAGGAGCGTCCTTGCTCCTAGTAGCGATGCCAGGAGCCCCAAGTAGCTTTTTGTTCCTAGTAGTAAGGCCAGGAGCCCCCTAATAGCGTCCTTGCTCCTATAGTAGCGATGCCAGGAGCCCCTAGTAGCCTCTTGTTCCTAGTAGTAAGGCCAGGAGCCCCCAATAGCGTCCTTCCTCCTAGTAGCGATGCCAAGGGGCGCCTAGTAGCTTCTTGTTCCTAGTAGTAAGGCCACGAGCCCCTAATAGCATCTTTGCTCCTAGTAGCGATGCCAGGAGCCCCTAGTAGTTTCTTGTTCCTAGCAGTAAGGCCAGGAGGTGCTAATAGCGTCCTTGCTGCTGTAGCGATGCCAGGAGCCCCTAGTAGCTTCTTGTTCCTAGTAGTAAGGCCAGGAGCCCCCAATAGCGTCCTTGCTCCTAGTAGCGATGCCAGGAGCCCCTGATAGCATCATTGCTCCTAGTAGCGATGCCAGGAGCCCCCAGTAGCTTCTTGTTCCTAGTAGCAAGGCCAGGAGCCCCTAGTAGCGTCTTTACTCCTAGTAGCGATGCCAGGAGCCCCTAGTAGCTTCTTGTTCCTAGTAGTACGGCCAGGAGCCCCTAATAGCGTCCGTGCTCCTAGTAGATGCCAGGAGCCCCTAGTAGCTTCTTGTTCCTAGTAGTAAGGCCAGGAGCCCCTAATAGCGTCCTTGCTCCTAGTAGCGATGCCAGGAGCCCCTAGCGTCCTTGCTCCTAGTAGCGATGCCAGGAGCCGCTAGTAGCTTCTTGTTCCTAGTAGTAAGGCCAGGAGCCCCTAATAGCGTCCTTGCTCCTAGTAGCGATGCCAGGAGCCCCTAGTAGCTTCTTGTTGCTAGTAGTACCCCTTGCTCCTAGTAGCGATGCCAGGAGCCCCTAGTAGCTTCTTGTTCCTAGTAGCGATGCCAGGAGCCCCTAGTAGCTTCTTGTTCCTAGTAGTAAGGCCAGTAACCCCTAATAGCGTCCTTGCTCCTAGTAGCGAGGCCAGGAGCCCCTAGTAGTTTCTTGTCCCTAGTAGTAAGGCCAGGAGCCCCTAATAGCGTCCTTGCTCCTAGTAGCGATGCCAGGAGCCCCCAGTAGCTTCTTGTTCCTAGTAGTCAGCCATGTCAATGTGTTGTGCCGTCGCGATTCTGCTTCAATCATTTCTCTTGACTCTGGACCCTGGACCATTCTTTTTTCTGCTGCGAAGTCCTAGACTTGACTGGATCAGGAGACCCATTGCTTTTTGGAGTTCTATGGATGGTTTTTGTTCATTTATGCAATTCTTAATTATATAATGTCTTTGATCCTTTGCAGCCAATTGACATGTCCTGGAGAGCATGCCGTCCTTTTCCTTTTTGGCTCTTTTGGACTCGGGGGCCCCGGGGGACTCTTCAAAACCGGTCGGGCTTTGAGGACAAGGAGGGGGACGAGCTCCCCCAACAGAGCAGTGTCATGGAGATCGTGCGCCAAAGGCTGCGCACGATCCACGGCACCTTGGATCGCTCCGAGTCGGACGGCCTGTGCTCGGCGCACTCCTACGAGTCACCGGCAGTGAGGAGATGCAAGCTGCCGTGCCCTGGGCAGAAGGGGTTGTGAGCGTGTGTTGCTTTATTGGGGAGAGCCCCAACCAATGGGTTTTGGTCTATTTCCCTTCTTCCAGGGGGTGTAAGTGGGAGGTCGCCCTAATTGAACACCACATGAGTACACATGTCATGAGACATTGACGAGTGAGCCACGGAATGAACTCTCAGATTCTTGAAGCGTCGGAGGAGTTTATGAACTCTTGGGTTTGGTTGTTCATAGTCTTTTTGTAGACAGCAATTCGACAGAGGCTAAGATGCGCGGTATCTTGCTTGATCATCGTTGCAATTCTCCTTTCATCCGTATCGATGTATATCTATCTGATGGTCGAGTGGACCGCGGCACATGACGACACTCTAGAGCTTTTCAATGCAGCTTGGCAGAATGTGCTGGCTTATAGATGCTTAGAGTGGCTTTTCCTTGCTGGTGCAGAGTGCTTATAGGTCTTCTAAGCCTCTGCTTCGCAGCCCAGGAATCTTTGAATTCTCAAAGCAGTCGATTGAACCAGCAGATTCTGGAGGCCTCCAACACCTCCTATCGCCAATTGCTTCTGAAAATCGAGTGGACAGTGTGGTGGTACATCATCCAGCCACCGAGTCAATCAGCACAATTTATGTTCAGCTTGCTCAAGATGATGCCCATGCAGCCAGGACCCTCGGTGCTGCCTTCTTGTTTGATTCTCTTTTCTTATTCGGCGGTCTTGTGGTTCTACTCTTTGGTCAGTCCACAAACACTTGTTCAGAAGATGTCCAATCAATTCTTCGTGCAACGTACAGTTTTTTCATTTTTTTTCTTGGTTTTGGTGCTGCTTCTTCGCAAACTTTGGAGCTTGTTTGGAGCAGCTCCGACCCGTTCCTGTATCAAAGATGGTTGCGTTTTTGCATGTCTTTGCTAATCACAGACAGGCATCCGCAAAGTAATGCTGCTTCAGTTCACCAAAAGGAACGATACAAGCCTCTGTGGATGCAGTGCCGCGCCGACAGAACCAAGCAAAATAGATTGACCTGCCAGCCAGGCAAGGCAGCCAACGAAACGTTTGTCAAACCAGTTGTTTGTTTCATCTTGTTTGCAGGGCTAGGGCGCTTCGACCAACCCTTTTCGTATACCAGGCCATGCGGCTGCTCTGCCAAGAAAGCTTGGAGATTGTAAGCGTTAGTAGAACCTTCTTCGGACTTCTGAATCTTTGGAGCTTGCCTTATATCATATAAGGATGGGAACATTGGGCAGATGTCTTGGCAACCGCTGCGTGGACCCAACTTCATGACCAATGGGAGGAGGCCAATGTGAAACAGCAGCAGGCCAGCTTGGGCAGTCCTGGTTGAAACGGCTTTCTAACAGTCCTTCAGTCTGACATACTTGAGATCCTTGATGATTCTTGGATGCTTTATGCTTCTTTTTTGCTTGTATGTTTTTCTTTCTCTGACTCAATTCGAAGGTGATCCGCGGGCCCTTGAGAGGCTTTGCTTACAGCTTGGTAGTGGCGTACTGCAACGGGCTGGATGCGGGCTCTTCCATCCTGTTGAACACAACCGAGTCCAATGCATCATATATCTTCAAAACAGTTCCGCTGCTGCCGGGGGGGAAAACGGTCCTCCAGGTCTTTACAAAAGACAAAGCTGGAAGCCAACCACACTTGGTTGAGACTTTGAATTTTGACTCTGAGACGCGGCCCTTTTACCTGATACAGAAGAATCTTTCGGACCACGGGGCCAATCAGCAACATTCGTCCTCTGACGCATGGACTGGAGTCTTCAATTATACCATCTGGAATCCTTTGCACGGGAGCTGCGGTTTTGCGAAGACCCTGCCCATTCCAACATGCCAGGGAGCTTGCAATGGTGGCTTTTGTGGAGCGATTGCATCTCATGTGAGTTTGGTGTCCATCAGGCGTGCGCTTGAGGAGCGCGTGGGCATTGGTGTCCATAGGTGTGAGTGATCTTGGAACGCATGTTGTGATGAATTGGCATTGCCTCATCTCAATTCAATTTCACAGATCAAAGAGATGTGTCTTTTTTGAGGAGCAATGGCATGATATCCGAAAGAAGCTTAAAGGGCCCATCTATAATTACCAGCTTGGAGCGGAGAACTCCAGCATTTTCACCATCATCCAAAAGTCCAACGCCTCACCTAAACAGGAAGGCTTTGTCCTGGCAGCCTCCAACGATCCAGAGACCTGAACGAACTGGACAGAACTCAATACTTGCGCTTGCCTGCTTGATTAGTGAGATGGTGGAGAAACCACATGATTTCTAGGGGAAAACACGAGTTCCAAAGGATGGTCACTTTCCAAAGGCTCAGCGCGGCGCGTGTATTGTTTTTGCTTGATTTAGACCTTTTGCAACGGACACCGTGGCGCCAAGGAGCAGGGCTGTAGCTTCAGATATGCCAACAATTCTCCGATATCCCTTGTCTCCAAAACTGCCCAAGCACTGTTGATGAGGGTGGGCTCTTGGCAAGCCGAGCCTTTGCAGTCCATGTTCATGATG